AAATATTTAGTTTGACTTTAGAATTATTCTTTATTTTAGAAATAGAAGAAGTATTTTCTTTGAATAATAATGATTGTTACTTTTTATTTCAGAAATGGCATTATTGGCTGTAAACTCCACTTGCTTAATGAAAACATGAGTCACTTGGAAAAAGCGAGGCGTCATCGTAAAAGGTAAGTTTTAGTAAAAAAAAAAGCTCTACTTTTGTTTTCAAGTGAACTTTTTTCACTCTNTGTGTGTATTGCATTGAGAAACAATAATTTTCTGTAGAACATTTAGATAAAAAGTTGTATTAAGCATTCTTTGACAGGAACGTTTTACACAAATTCGCGATGTGCTTTAGTTGATTGTTTGTGACGTTGTTCGGTAAAACTTAGGTCATAATGTGGAAATGCTATGGCATTCAATACTTAGTATGAGGTGTACCGCCAGCTCTTAGAAGCTTGTTTCTTTTAGGTTTTTGCAAAAGAAACATTGTTATTTCCAAATGTGTATGCTACTAATGATAAAACGTTACATATTTCTATGTGATATAAACGTAATAAAATGTGCATTACCATTATTAATGTTGCAGGATGGACTGGTTCAATGAAATAATCAAGATAGTGTTTGTGATTATGCTATTGTATATTTTCTACTCAGTTTTTCTGTAAAATACGTTATATTGTATATCAAGGATTATTTCTGATTTCACTTTAAAATCAGTAATTTTCTTAAAGTTTACGAACAAGATATACAAGATATACATTTTGTACACTTTATTTGTATTCAGCTGTAGAGAGCTGTAGAGCTNGTTTTACCTATCGAAAAGTGAGTTTTTATCACATAAATTACAATAATTTCTAGTTTTCTTAAGGATTACAACGTTTTTCTGTTGATTCATAGTGTTTCGCAAATAAATTTCTCTTACTAGTTTCATGTGATCACTCGACAAAAGTGTATTGAAATTGTTATGTGAAATTTAGAAAAACTTTATGGCAACATCGTTAGTAGATGTGAGCTTTGCGTATACACAAAAGGATAAGACCGTGATGAGAAACGTTTTGTATTTTTTTTTGGGTGATGTCCAAACAATTAACAAGATTGGAGGACTATCAAATTTGTTAACAAAGAGAACATCAATGAAAACATGTTACAANTTTTTACAGCCAAGTAAGTTCTATATTACAATCGCGCGTGCACACGAAATACAGATATTGTGTCGTGTATATATTGCCATTGTCAAAATACGTCTACACCTGTTAATTGAGTTTTGCAGATATATTAGAACAACGGCAAACATATATGTGGTGTCAAAGTTATTGAAATATATGTTATAAAAACTCACTTTTTTCTAGTTAAAACCAGCTATACAGCTGGATCTTTAATAAGCAAATTGTGAAAATATTGCACAAAAATAACGTGTATATACTTATAGAAATGCATAACGATTCTTTCGCAATTTTTGACAAATATTAGTTACAAAATTTTATTTCGACAACACTGTTGCGTTATGGCAAATCATCTTAGTGCAATTATTGTTGGATCGTTGTTATTCATGATGCTATTTTTGTGCAATATTAGTAAAATTTGCTTATGAGAGTGGATTTATATTAACTCTGTTATTTAGNAAAAAAATTTCTAGTCTAAGAAACGTAGTTCTCTTTAACTTAGCTGTTAAAATAAGTTTTCTACAAAAATATTTTGTATGAAAAGATACAGGAAATAAAAATGAGTGTCCACGCCTGTTTGCATCACTTCGCTATCTCACTCGTTATTTACAAATATCTATATCCGTTTTACAAATATCTATATGCATTAGTTTTTGTACATTTTGCAAGAAAATATATGAGTTTCTCTGGTGCGACACATGCTAAGGTTTGAACTTCAGTTGATTCCGCGATACTATTGTATTCTATCTTAGGCTGCTGGTTTGATCTACATAACGTTATGTAAACAAACATTGACAAAAAGAAAGAATAAAGTAACGAATTTATTTGTTATGTTGTTTATTGAAAAACGTCGCTGCGCGCACTTAGTGCCAATTCCGTCTGTCACGGTCGCGATACAAAACGTGAGATATCATTGTTAGAGCTTCTGATATATTTAAGTGTAAGTCTCTTGGAAAACGCAGACTAAGTGGTTTCACAGCATTTCGAAAACGTTGGTGCCGGATTATTGTGCATGTTTGGTATGTGAANCATAATGCTCCTTAATATTTGACGTAATCATTGCGTAAATTACAACGAGCTACCGAGAGAAAGTTCATTTTCCGTGTAAAAATCGTGTATACAANAATCAATTTCTGTACTCGAGACATAGAATAAGATACTACAGTTTTCTACACATCCTACGCGATAGGTTTACTTATATCTCGTGTACGCAATTCGAACAAAAAACAAACAATAATAACAAGTAACGCGTCTAGAATTCGACGACAGTTGAAAAAATTAGAGACAGCGAATGACAAAACTCCTATCTCTCTTAATATTTCGTTCGTAGTTTGCCGCGAAGTTCGATTATCTAAAAATGACTGAAGCCCGAAATTCTCCGACGGCGATAAGTTGAAAAGGTTAAACGATCACAATTAATTACAATTTCTCTCTAGTTGCGATCGATACAATTTCACTGCCACACAATTATACAAATAGTTATTGTATTTAATTGCTTTAGGTGAAACGCATACACGTGTGTGTTTGTGTTTATGGACAAGTACGAGAATAATACAGCTATCACAATGACGATTACGACTATTCAAATATTGACTCTCACGAGTATGACATATCATCATAATTAAAATAATTTAATTTTTAAAAATTCTCCGTTGTTAGGATCATTTCTTTTGAAGAAGTTTTTTTTCAAAGGGAGTGAAAGAAACACGTTCATCTAAGAAAAAACTATAAATTGCTTCTTTTTCAGAATTAAACTTTGCTTTTACTTGTTTATAAGAATATGTGTGTTTGATCGAAACTTTCACCGAAATTTCATGAAACATAGCACATTTATACTCAAAATGAACAGATGTATTGTACAAGACACAATTATTTTTCTCTGAACGCTGTGGATGTAGAAAATTGTGTGTCTGTCTCGTTTGTCAATTCTTGTTATTTGCCGCTGACTAAACATATATATATATATGTATATATTAAATATGAAATAACGTTATAAGAGCCGTTTTGCAAGATGTTGTGCAGAAATATAAGCCTCGGTGGCCTAACAAGGAAGGCGATGGCCCGAAAAGACGAAGATACCACGTTCGACTCTTGGTTAAGGAGTTCTTTTCGCAATCTTTTAAAACTTAGGTAGAAGAGTATTTGGGGTCTATCATATATGTGATGCAAATATAGCATTATATACGGATTTAAGAATTGTAATTTTAATTCAAAAAACTCATGTGTAAAAATTTACACGTGAATACATACATACATATGTACATACATATAAATATATATACTATACATTTCTGCACAACATCCTGAAAAACGGATCTTATGACCTTATTCCACATTTCTTATTAGACTTCAAAAAGCCTGAAGAGTTTTTATTAATATATATATTTTTGATAAGAATGGTTTCTTTTCGGCGATTCCGGTCTTCACAAGCCATTAATTATACGCGGAATAAAACTATACCACCTCTGATTACTAACAAAATAACGTCTTTTATTAACTAACACCACTCTAAATACAAAAATATTTACAATATTAATACGTAAAAACAAATAAACATATGTTTATCACGTAAATGTGCAGTATCTGATATTCCTCACGACCAACCGCTGCCTGACCTCGATATGAAAAATTGTTTATTAGATTGAATTACAAAGTATTAGAGAATATTACAATTTTAACTCTGATCAAATAAATGTTTTGTCTCTTTCTCTTCGTTATAAATCTTGAATAATCTTGACTGACGTTTAAAGGTGCGAATCCTTCACCTCATCAAGGTTTATTTGCCCATAAATCTACATACAATNATGTTTTTAAGTCAATTTATCAATAATAAATAAGAACCACTGTGTGTGTCTCTCTTAAATATATACAACATGTAAACTCATATCTATACATACCGTATTCATTATTCAGCATATAAAATTGTGCTTCGTGGACTTCGTCAAGCATTGCGCAATCATCGCCTAAATTACACATCATTTTCTTTCTACCAAACTCAGAATTCGGCTCATTTCCGTGTTAAACTTTTGTAAAGAAACACCAAGTGCTGTGGTGTTTTGTTCTTTCATACCGTAGATAAAAAATTAACTTTGTTGACATTAAAAGTGCAACGGTTTTAATTGATACTAATATTTTATATTTTTTATTATTTTATTATTCCAACGCAAAACACTTGATATTTCGTTGTGTCTATTTTAAAACCGTGTTGAATATTTGAGTTACTATGACTGGAGACGCTGATACATTTATACCTACCTTTTACTCCCATCGGAGTGTGTTTATTACTGGTGGCACAGGTTTCTTGGGTAAAGCGTTATGTGAAAAATTACTGAGATCTTGTCCGGATATTGAAGAAATATATTTATTGATACGACCAAAAAAAGGATTGACCATCACCGACAGAGTTAAGAAAATGTTGAATAACAAGCTTTTTGATTTATTACGGCGCGAACGGCCAACCAGTTTCGAGAAAATTATTCCGATAAGCGGAAACGTGAGTATCAAAGATTTAGGATTATTGCCAGAGGACAGGAAAATGTTAAGTGAAAAAGTGTCGATAATATTTCACGTAGCAGCTTCTGTCCGCTTTGACGAGAGTCTTAAAGATGCGATTTTCACAAACTTACGGTCAACGCGTGACGTTTGTATTTTGGCCCAATCTATGAAAAATATAGTAGTAAGTTTTTTTATCGATTTATATTGTTTCGCAAGTACATTTTTCTCAATAACTTTGTGTGTTTGACAACATTTCTAATTCTAACCGTTACATTTAATTTACATAATCAAAATAGGCTCTAGTTTACGTAAGCTCGGCATTTACACAGTGTGATAAACCCGTCGTAGACGAGGTTTTTTATCCTCTAGAAAATGTCGATTGGAAGAAGACGATCCACACTGCTGAGAAAATTGACAACGAAATTTTAAAAGTTTTTACCGCGAAGTAAGTGCTATATTACATTCGCGCATGTACACGAGATACGCGCATTGTGTCGTGTATATAGTGTCATTGATAAAATATGTACTTTTTAATTAATTGTTTCAGATATATACATCCCATGCCCAATACGTACGTCTTTACAAAGCGACTAGCAGAAAATGTTATAAACGATTTTTCTGAATCGTTGCCTTGCGTTATTATCAGACCTTCAATTGTAGTACCTTCAATTAGCGATCCCATACCAGGCTGGCTAGATAATTTTAATGGCCCAATGGGCTTACTAGTCGGTGGTGGGA